TTAGCCAGGCATGGTGATGATTGCCTGTGGTCCCAGGTACTCAAGAGGCTGAGGCAAGCAGGTTGCTTGAGGCCAGGAGTTCAATTCAGTCTGGGCAACATAGCAAGATTCTGTCTCTACAAAAAAAAAAAAAAAAAATTTAAATTAGCTGGTCATGGCAGTGCCTGCCTGTGATCCTAGGTACTTAGGAGGCTGAGGCGGGAGGATCACCTGAGTCCAGGAATTCAAGACCAGCCTGAGCAACAGAGCAAGACTCTGTCTGTACAAAAAACTTTTTTAGTTAGCTGGGTGTGGTGGCACCTGCCTGTGATTCTAGTTACTTGGGAAACCTAGGTGGGAGGATTGCTTGAGGCCATGAGTTCGGGGATGCAGTAACTAGGGCTGAACCTTTGCCTCCAGCCTGGGTGACAGAGTAAGATCCTGTCTCTAAAAAGAAATAAAAATTTAAGAAAAAAAAAAAAGTGAGCTTAGAGAAGAGTAAACACTAACCCTCTGGGAAGAGAGAGCCAACATCTTAGCCCAGGTAGAAGGAGAAAAGCACAGTAAAACTAAAGAACCCAGGTGCAGGTGAGAACGTGACAGGAGAGAGCCTTCCAGGAGGAGGGATTGGCAAACCCAGAGGGGTCAAGTGAGGTGAGGCCGCAGGAGACGAAACTGAGAGATGAGAGATTACCTCTGAGAGCCATTGGTGAAGTGGCGGAGACGCAAGCCAGACACCGGGGGCTGAACGGTGGGTAAAGAGTGAGATGGCAAGGGCGGGGAGGGCTGACAGAGGGAAGCTGGACAGGGTGGAGGCTGGAAGTCAGTGGTGGGTAAGGGGGATTGGGGGATACTGGGTGTTAGAGGTTGAAAAAGCATGTGGGTAAATAAATTTTTTTTTTTTTAGATGTAGTCTCACTCTGTCACCCAGTCTGGAGTGTAGTGGCTCAGTCTCGGCTCACTGCCACTTCCTCCTCCTGGGTTCAAGAGATTCTCCTGCCTCAGCCTCCTGAGTAGCTGGGATTACAGGTGCCTGCCACCACGCCCAGCTAATTTTTGTATTTTCAGTAGACAGGTTTTCACCATGTTGGTCAGGCTGGTCTCCAACTCCTGACCTCAGGGGATCTGCCCGCCTTGGCCTCCCAAAGCGCTGGGATTATAGGTGTGACCCATTGCGCGCAGCCAAAGATTCCTGAACAAAGAGAGGAGACAGAGCAAGAGCCCAGATGGGGAAATGTCTCAGACAGGGAAAAGGTTAACTCCTCCAGTGCAGTGCTTGGCAGTGTCTAGAGACATCTGTGGTGTCATGACTGTGGGGAGGGGATCCTACCAGGACCAAGTGGGTGAAGACCCGGGTTGCAGCTCAGTACTCTACATACAGGCCAGCCCCCACCACCAAGAATGATCCAACCCCCAATGTCAGCAGTGCCCAGGTTGAGAGCCCTGCTTGAACCACAGAAGAATGGAAATCAAGGACGGAGTGGGGTGAGGTGGGGACCCCAGGGGACCCAGCCCACACCCTCTGGCCTCTATGCATAAGTCTGGAAGGGCAAGATGGAGGTCTCCAGGAGAGAAGCAAAAGGTAAGAATAACTGCAGAGGCCAGGCACCATGACTCATGCCTGTGATCCCAGCACTTTGGGAGGCTGAGGTAGACGGATTATTTGAGGCCAGGAGTCTGAGACCAGCCTGGACAAAATAGCAAGACTTCATCTCTACAAATTAATAATAATTTTTAAAAACTAGCTGGGCATGGTGGCATGCAACTGTGGTCCCAGCTACCAGGGAGGCTGAGGTGAGAGGATGGCTTGAGTACAGGGAGGTCGAGGCTGTAGTGAGCCGTCACTGCCCGACTGTGGCTGCATTGCAGCCTAAGCAACAGAGCAAGACCCCATCTCAAAAAATAAATACAGTAAAACAAATAGATAGCTAGACCAATAGAGACAAAAATCACACTGATTTTCCTCCACCCTTCATGCCAATCAAAATGCCATATTAGAGCCGGGATTGGTGGTTCATGCCTGTAATCCCAGCGCTTTGGGAGGCCAAGGCAGGCAGATCACTTGAGATCAGAAGTTTGAGACCAGCCTAGCCAATGTGGCAAAACCTCATCTCTACTAAAAATACAAAAATTCGCCAGGGGTGGTGATACACCCTGTAATCCCAGCTACTCAGGAGCGTGAGGCAGGAGACTCACTTGAATCTGAAAATTGGAAGTTGCAATGAGCAAAGATCTTGTCACTGCACTCTAACCAGGGTGACAGTGAGACCCTGTCTCAAAAAAAAATGCTGGGCATGGTGGCTCATGCCTATAATCCCAGTACTTTGGGAGGCTGAGGTGGGCAGATCACAAGGTCAGGAGATCAAGACCATCCTGCCTAACATGGTGAAACCCCATCTCTACTAAAAATACAAAAAATTAGCCAAGTGTGGTGGTGCTTGCCTGTACTCCGGAGGATGAGGCAGGAGAATCTCTTAAACATGGAAGGTGGAGGTTGCAGTGAGGTGACATCACGCCACTGCCCTCCAACCTGGGCAACAGAGTGAGACTCCCTTTAAAAAAAAAAAAAAAAAAAAAAAAAAGTCTTATTGGTTGACATTAGAGATTAATGATCTGAAAAGTTCTTTGCCCCTCTCCAAGCCTTCAAGAGGCGTCACGCCCGTTTATTTGATAGGATTTTGTTCACCATTACCCCAAGCATGGGAGGTATGGAGGCTCACACTCAAAAGAACAAGGATCTGTTAAAAAAAAAAAAAAAAAAAAAAAAAAAAAAAAAAAAAACCATTGCTCTGCAGCCACGCTAGCTAGATTGTAATGCCAGCCCTGCTGCCTGCTGGCCCCAAGTGGAGTTTTCTCACTTGTGAAAAGAGACGATTAAACTGCACCTCGTGGGGTTTTGTGGTGAGGATTAACTGAGATTATATATGCAAAGCACACAGAACAGCACCTGCTGAGGCCTTGCTCTTATAATTCTTAGAAAGGTATTAAGCAGAGAATGAGGAACTCCTTACGAATAAAGGCACCCAGTACACCCAGGGATTCCACCACCTGGGCTCCAAATATTTGCCAAACACCTACTATGTGCCAGGCACTGTTCTGGGCTCTCGAAATGCAGAAGTGAACACTGACAACAACAGCAAACCGTAAACCCCTGCCCATAAGGAAGCCATAACTGTGCAAATAAATGGCAAATCCATTTACTGATCCTGAAAGCGCAGGCACAGATCCACAATTCATCACCAAAGCTGCAAGGAACAGAAGAGCAAGGAACCACACATAGGCACACACAGAATTTGGCATAGTTCTTTTTTTTTTTTTTCTGAGACGGAGACTCTGTTGCCCAGGCAGGAGTGTAGTGGCGCAATGTTGGCTCACTGTAACCTCCAACTCCCAGGCTGATTCTCCTGCCTCAGCCTCCAGAGTAGCTGGGATTACAGGTGCGCGTCACCATGCCCAGATAATTTTTGTATTTTCAGTAGAGATAGGATTTCACCATGTAGGCCAGGATGGTCTTGATTTCCTGACCTCATGATCTGCCTGCCTCGGTCTCCCAAAGTGCTGGGATTACAGGCACGAGCCACCATGCCTGGCCTGGCATAGTTCTAAACCACTCTTCTTGGATTTTCTTAACAAGAACCCAAACTAACTGCCACCCTTCATTGAGCACCTGCTGTCTGCCAGGCCCTGGGGTGGTGGTGGTGGGGCTTTTAGACATTATGTAATTGATAGAGTCAACTCCGCAAACCCGGTTGGTCCACTCCAGCACCTCTGATTTCACATCTACCCCGTTCTCCCTCAATACATTAAGGAGCTTCAGTTCCTTCCCTCTCCGACCCCTTCCTCATCACCACTGATTTCCTTTTATGGAGAAATCTGCAACAGTGACACAACAAATATTTTTAAAGCAGGGTCTCAGACCCTACAGTGGGAAACCCAGGCTATATTCTCTTAAATGATTACTCCATCTTCATTCTACAACCGCAAAGGCGTCTTCAAGGAAGATGCTGCTCCCACGTGGGAGAGCCGGTGGGGGTCAGGGGGAATGAAAGGCTCTTTCATGAAGGGCAGAGCTGAGGGGAGAGGAGGCGTTAAGGAAACAGCAGGTGAAGGACAGTAGTCCAGATTCTTGGGCAGAACAGGGAGCAGAGAGATTCAGGTCCTGGCTCTGGCACTGACTTTAGGGCAAGGGAGCTATGCGTTTTACCTGAGCCTCAGTTCACTCCTCTGTAAAATGGGTGCATAACTGTAACCGCTTCCCGGGGCCACTGTGACAGTCCAGAGAGATAAGATAGACCAGCGTGTGGCCTGTGGTGACACCAATTACAATAAACATGGCCAAAAAAAAAAAAAAAAAAAAACACGCCACTACTTCTGCCACAATTGCTGCTGTTTCTAAGGCTTTAGAATGTGCCTCGGGACATCTGGAAACAGAACCCAAAAGGGAAACCATGGACCTAGAGTCCGGGGTGGCCACTGGCCTAGATCCAAGATATCGGGATGGAGCTGGGGGCGGGTTCTACAATCCCCGACCCCAGGCAGCGTCTCCCACCAGTGAGGCACTCAGGGCACTTGGCTCCATCTACACCTTATGCGCTCCGGGGATGGGCTGTCCGGAGCTGCCCAGACCGAGTGACCCCACTTCGCAGCCGCCACCCAGAGAGGACGCGTGTGTTGTCTCCAGAGCGACTTGGCCTCGGAGAGACCGGGGCTCTGGTCGCAGGGGCGATCCGGAGAGGCGCCCGCGGCGGGGCGGGCACTGGGGCAAGGTTCCTCGGGCTCAGGTCGGGCACGCGGGGCGCGGAGGCACGAGTCCGGGCGGGCAAAGGCCAAGGTCAGCGGCTTCCCGCCCCGCACGCGGAGCAGAAGCGACCGCCCGAGCCACCGACCCCAGCCCCCCGTCCTCGGAAGGGGTCTCAGTCCACCAGCGGGGTGGGGGGAGGAGGGCTCTCTTTTGTCTCGGGTTGGGGGGGTCCTCTCCCCATCGCCTTGCTCCCCGCCCACTCCTGCGCCCCCAGACTCACCCTCTCCAGGGTACATTTGGCCCGCGGCGCCCAAGAGCAGCGCGGCCACCGCCACCAGCAGCGGCGCGGCCGCCGCCCCCCGGCGGCTCCCGGCTCCCATGGCTGCGGGGAGCTCAGGGTCTCCTCGGATCAGAACGCGCGGTGCGGACCCGCGGGGGTCATGCCGCAAGGCGGCCGCCCGAGAGGCGCTGGGGGCCGCGTGTCCTTCTCTTCCACGCGGGCGATCCGCGGGCCGCAGCGCCCCTGCCCGGGATCTGGGGTCCTAGAGGCAGCCCCGGGAAGGGCGCGCGCGCGGCCTCGCCCGCTACAAAGAGAGCTGGGAGGCCCCGCGGTAGCTGCCCCGACCCCCCGGCCGCTGCGGGCCGGGCCCCGTCCCACGATCTCGAGGCCCGGAGCTCTGCGCTGCGCCCGGGACTGTCTCCTGGCTTTCGGCCCCGCGCACTCTGGGTCGCGATCGGCGGGCTCCGGGACAGAGGGACTCGCGGACCGAGGGACCCGCTGCAGGGCGGGCGGGCACCTGGGCGGGCGAGTGGCTGGTGGCGGGCGGCGGGAGTGAGGGCTGCTCGGGCCGTAAACAAGGCGACCCGTCAGCTGGGCCCCTTGCGGGCCGAGGGAAAAGGCGGCGCGGATCTGGCCTGGGAAGGGACTGTGCGCCCGGGAGAGGCCCGGGAAAGGGAGGGAAAGCGGGGGGCCGGGGAGGGAGGTGGCGCCCGGCCCCGCCCCGCCTCCCCGCCTCCCCGAGCCGGGCCCCTCGCTGGAGGCCCTGGGCGCGCCTGGACCGAGGGGCCGCCCCAGATCCGCGCGCTCTACACCGCCCGAGTCTCCTCCAGCCTCAGACGCCCCCAAAGGCGCCCCACAGGCCTGACCCAGCGACATAAATCCTTTCTCTACCATTTTGCTCTTTTGTTCGGAGTGGGGCTTTGGAGGATTTCTGTTAATAATTTTAAAATACTGCATTAAAATATTTACGTTGGTGACTCGAGGTGGGTTCGGTTTTTTGTTTGTTTTTGTTTTTTGTTTTGTATGTGTGGTGTATTTGTGGGGGATTAAATTTTGCACCTCAGGCGAGTAGTTGTTCACTCACCGCCTTTCCCTCATCCAGGCCTGGCCAGACACACTCGTCCCAGAGCGGGTGGACGCTCCCAGATGTCCCTCCCGCGCGTGCGCCCCCACCCAGAGGCAAGACCCAAGTCAGGCCCCTGGGGACAGCCACGTGCCTGCGTGTCCAGTGCGCTCCCTGTGTTCAAGTTGGAGAAAGACACCTGGGAAAATGTGCAGAAGCTTCTGAAAGGGGAAAGACGATGCAGGAGACCTCGAATAGAGGGTGGACATGTCTGATTATCAGCAGACCAGCCTGTGTGTGTCTGAACGTCTAGCAATGTCAGTCACGAACAAGGCGGGACAGCGGTTCCACCCACCATACTGAAGGAGAGGAAGGGGCTTTCAGTGTAGGAAAGCCAGAACTCAGTGGGAAAAGGGTTCCTCCACCCCTCACTCCTGTGTAGTCTTGGACCAGCTACTTCACTATGTCCGGGCCAGTCTTGCTTCAGTGATGGGTTTGATAATACCTGTACACCAGATCTGGGAAGGTACCCGAGGGAGAAAACTTAAGAATGCACACAGCACAACCGTAGACCCAAGGCATTCATTCTCTTTATTTTTATTTTTATTTTATTTGAGTCTTGCTCTATCGACCAGGCTGGAGCGCAGCGGCTTGATCTCTGCTCACTGCAACCCCCGCCTCCTGGGTTCAAGCAATTCTCCCGCCTTAGCCTCTCAAGTAGCTGGGACCACCAGGCATATACCACCACGCCCAGCTAATTTTTGTATTTTTAGTAGAGACCGGATTTCACCATGTTGACCAGGACGGTCTCAATCCCCTGGCCTTGTGATCTGCCCACCTCGGTCTCCCGAAGTGCTAGGATTACAGGCATGAGCCTCGGCGCCTGGACCGTTCTTCCATTATTAAAGAAATAGTTTGTTCAGAGCTGGGCCCACTCTTCTTGCAAAAGGCCAAACTTCTGGCTTCATCGCTGCTCCAAGGACTCATCCCTACCACATTTTAGAAATCCTCCCCCCAGTTCCCTGTTCCCTTCTTTTTTTTTTTTTTTTTTCTTTTTTCTTTCTTTCTTTCTTTTCTTTTTTTTCTTTTTTTCTTTTTTTTTTTTTTTTTTTGAGAAGGAGTCTTGCTCTGTTGCCCAGGCTGGAGTGCAATGACATGATCTCGGTTCACTGCAACCTCTGCCTCCTGGGTTCAAGTGATTCTCCTGCCTCAGCCTCCCAAGTAGCTGGGATTACAGGTGCCCACCACTGCACCCAACTAATTTTTGTATCTTTAGTAGAGACGGGGTTTCACCATGTTGGCCAGGCTGGTCTTGAACTCCTGACCTCAGTTGATTCACCCGCCTTGGCCTCCCAACATGCTGGGATTACAGGTCTGAGCCCCTGCACCTGGCCCCTTCTCTCTCATTTTCATAGCATGCTTACCTCTCTGCCTGAAATTATTTTCTTCTCTTTTCTTCCTTCCCTTTCCTTCCTTCCTTGTCCTTTCTTTCTTTCTTTCGTTCTTTCTTCCTTTCTTTCTTTTTTCCAGAATCTTGCTGTCACCCAGGCTGGAATGCAGTGGTGCAATCCTAGCTGACTGGAGCCTTGAACTCCTGGCCAAGCAGTCCTCCTGCTTTGGCCTCCCAAGGTGCTAGGATTACAGACATGCGTCACTTTGATTGGCCTTGACATTCTTATTCAATGTGTTCTGTGTTTTCTCCTCTCCCATGAAGGCAGAAATCTTTAAAGTCTCATTTCACTGATTAAACTCAGTGCCTGGCATAGCTGTTGCTTAATAAATATTTGTTGAGTGGGAGAATCAACAAGCAATAAGTAATATGGGATTTTTCAGTGAGCAAAATCAGCATGATCCATTTCTTTACGAAGTTCACAACTGAGCTTAGGAGAGAGCCCTTAAAATAATTGAGCGTGTGATGAGTTGAGGGGAATAGGAGGGGCATAGAGAGGGATCCACTGAGGGCGGCTTTTGTTTGTTGGTTGGTTGGATTTTGAAAAATCACGCTCTGTCCCCTAAGCTAACTTCAGTGGTGCGATCTTGGCTCACCACAACCTCCGTCCCCCGGGGTTCAAGCAATTCTCCTGCCTCAGCCTCCTGAGTAGTTGGGATTACAGGTGCCCGCCACCATGCCCAGGTAATTTTTGTATTTTTGGTAAAGACAGCATTTTACCATATTGGACAGACTGGTCTTGAACTCCTGACCTCAAGAGATCCACCCTCCTCAGCCTCCTCAAATGCTAGGAGTACAGGCATGTGAGCCACCGCACCTGACTGAGGATGTGGTTTTCAGCTTAAGTCTGAAAATGAAGAGGAGCCAGCCTAGGGAAGCCATGGAGAAGTGTTTCAGGTCGAGGGAAAGGCATGAGGATAGGCCCAGAGGAGGGTGAGCAAGACATTCTTACAACTGAACCAGTCACTCACTGTAGCTGTAGAAAAGAAAGAGGAGACGCTGGGCGTGGTGGCTCACGCCTGTAATCCTGGCACCTTGGGAGGCTGAGGCAGGTGGATCATGAAGGTCAGGAGTTTGAGACCCCCCATCTCTGCAAAAAATACAAAAAATTAGCCAGGCTTGGTTGCATGCACCTGTAATCCCAACTTGGGAAGCTGAGGTAGGAGAATCATTTGAACCTGGGAGGTGGAGGTTGCAGTGAGCTGAGATTGTGCCACTGCACTCCAGCCTGGGCAACAGGAAGAGATTCAGTTTCAAAAAAAAAAAAAGAAAGAATGAGGAGAAAGTGAAGCCATGGGTAAGAACTGCAGTGGAGCCTTGAACCATGAGTTTGAACAGTGCAGGTTTTTTTTTGTTGTTTTTTTTTTTTTGGCAAAGTCTTGCTCTGTTGTCCAGGCTAGAATGCAGTGGAGCTATCTCGGCTCACTGTACTTTCCACCTCCCAGGTTCAAGTGATTCTCCTGCCTCAGCTTCCCAAGTATCTGGGACTACAGGCACACACCACCACATCTGGTTAATTTTTGTATTTTTAGTAGAGACAGGGTTTCACCATGTTGGCCAGGCTGGTCTCAAACTCCTGACATCAGGTGATCTGCCCACCTCAGCCTCCCAAAGTGAGGTCATCTTTTAAGCAGAATGTTTTTCAATAAATATATTGGAAACAGTTTTAGAGATCTGCAGCAATTTGAGAATTCTTGCAGATGAACTTGGTGACCAAGAAATATCCAAAAAAATTAAGTTAGGTATGTCACGAGTGCATAAAACATATGTAGATATGTTTTATTATTTTATTTTATTTTGGGGGGACAAAGTCTCACTCTGTCACCAGGCTGGAGTGCAGTGGTGCAACCTTCACCCCCCCAGTTCAAGTGATCCTCCTGCCTCAGCCTCCCTAATAGCTGGGATTACAGGCATGCGCCACCATGCCCAGCTAATTTTTGTATTTTTAGTAGAGACAGTGTTTCACCATGTTGGCCAGCATGGTCTCCATCTCCTGACCTCATGATCTGCCCACCTCAGCCTGCCGAAGTGCTGGGGTTACAGGCACAAGCCTCTGCACCTGGCTTATTATTTTCTTTTAGTGACAGGGTCTTGCTCTGTTGCCTAGGCTGGAGAGCAGTGGCCCAATCACAGCTCACTGTAACCTCCAACCCCTGGACTCAAGTCATCCTCCTGCCTCAGCCTCCTAAGTAGCTGGAACTACAGGCAAGCACCAACACCCCCAGCTAATTTTTTTTTTTTTTTTTTTTTTTTTTTACTTTTTGTAGAGACGAGGTCTCACCATGTTGCCCATGCTGGTCTCAAACTCCTAAATTCAAGCGATCCTCCTGCCTCTGCCTCTCAAAGTGCTGCGATTACAGCCATAAGCCACCATGTCCATCCCTATTTTATCATTTACCAGCATAAAATATACATAAATCTATTATTTTTAAGTGTATTAAAACATACACACACACTAACAAACCATGCATGGTGTTATTTGAAGTTAAGAGAAATGTAAATAAATCTAAACATGCACCATTCACTCATAACTGCATAAAATTAACTGCGGCTGTATTGTGTTACTGTTATAATTTCACGGCCACCTCCTGCTGCTGGAGTGAGTGCAAGCGTTGCAAGTATC